TGAGCGCATCTGAGACATTTGTACATGATATATACACATATATCTGAACTCCATGAACATTGAGGTACAACTTGACAGACGGTATTGTCGGCGGTAGCGCTGATCGTACCGTGCACTGGGATCGGCGCTGTCGCTGATAATTGGGATCGAACGTGAAGCTGCCTGCTGTGCCGGCCGGTACCGAGCATGGGCTCGCCAGGGTGCACCGATGGCTGGGTCGCGCAGTTGCCGTTGAGTGCTGGATTGTGCTTTGTGTTGTGGGAAGTCACCGGGTCTGGCTGAGATGAACCACTGGGCTTATCCGACTGGGATAAGATCCGAATGGGACCTTCGCACAGCCTGCAGATGTGCGATTACGGAGCTTTAAAACCCCGGGCACGGGCGGCAAAGTCACGTTTTTTGATGTTGTCCAGTCAGTTGGGTTAGTTGAGGCCGGTGCTCCCTGACAACTCGGTCATTCGGGGCACGGCAGGATAGAGCCATGCACATTTTGTGAACTGCCCTTGTCGTTGGAAGCGGTGCAGTGTGCTTCACTTTTTACTTGTGTGAACAAAATTTCCACGCAAAGCACAAACATTGCATTAGTGATCTGTCATGCCGTAGTTGTGTGTTTATTTCCTGCGCTGTGGATTTGAGAAACTCATGCTCAGTGTGTGATCCGGATTGGGACGCGGATTGACGAATTGATAGACCGCGAGGCGAGGACGGAGCCGGGGCGTCCCCTTCCCGCTGCCCGCCGAAGAGCGGCTTTACATAGGAGATTCGGCTCACCAAAGTGAGTGTCGCCACGGACTTCCCGCGGCGTTCATCGAAACCAAACGCCGCCAAGCCGAACCAGGTGTCTCCAGGGGCTGCCGTGAAAAAATAACTTCAGATGCCGCCTCCCCCAGACCTACCCCGAAAACAGCGCACGCTCCAAGTGTCTACTAGAGTCCGCCTTCCGCCAGTCAGCCAAACCCCGGTGCCTCCAGAGACCCCTCCGACATCCGCCCACACTCCGGTGTGCCCAGAGCAGCCACATGCCCCAGGGAGGCTGCGCTTCATAGCCGTGGTCCAGGCAGGTGGGTGGCAGGTCCCTGGTCATCCCCTGGCTCCGTCCCCGCCCAGGCGTGGTGGCGGTGTATCGGCGTCGGCCAGCGCACCCCCTCGGCTCCGGTTCAATGCACTGACGTGCTGTCCTGGCTACGCTCAAACGCTTGCAGCGCTCACCGTCATGGCCCGCCGCATGCTTACGTTGTGTCGCTGGCCCCGAAAGGGCGGCGGTGGCTGCCGACCCGCCGCGCCCAGCAACGTTGGCCGCTAACGGCCGCCCAGCAGCGTTGGTCGCCGACGGCCGCGCCCAGCGACGTTGGCCGCCGACGGCCGCGCCCAGCAGCGTTGGCCGCCGACGGCCACGCCCAGCAGCGCTGGCCGCCGACGGCCGCGCCCATCAGCGTTGGCCGCCGACGCACCGCGCCCAGCGGCGTCGGCCGTCGACGGCCGCGCCCAGCGGCGTTGGCCGCCGACGGCCGCGCCCAGCGGCGTTGGCCACCGACGGCCGCGCCTAGCAGCGTTAGCCGCCGACGGTGGTTGCCGACGACTTGAAGGCGGTCGGCCCGAGAATGACTGTTAGGTTGTCCAGCCCTGGTATTGCGGGTACGGTCTTTATCCAAAAACGGGCGTCTCGTGTCGCGTACAAGCCGTGTGGTGAGCGTTTTGGAGCAATCGTTTTTTACACAAGTTGTGATCACCACAAGTTGTGCTGTGCCACAAGCTGCAATCACCGCGCGTTGTTCCGTGCCACATGTTGTGATCGCAACAAAAATCTGTGACAATCACTGCCACATGGTGTAGACCTACTAACGTGCTAACGTGGCGTTCAGAGGCACTCACCGCTGCTGGTGCGGTGGCCGAGTGTATTTTGGTGTGCATGCCCGCGTACATTGTACTGCATTGACGTATGGGCTGTTGTTGGGGTCGGTAAAGTGGTTGGCGGTGCCTGACCATGATGTGGTCAGAGAGCCCGAGACCTGCCCAGGTCACTACCAGCCAGCCAGATGAATTAACGCACCCGTTACGCACACGCGTGCGTCTGCTCGGCGGCGGCACAGCCAGACGACATCACGTGTTGGTTTGCCCTTTCTTGCTGAAATGCTTAGCACAATATACGTTAAATTGCGTTGTTTTCAATGGATTCGTTGAAATCTGCTCATGCCGATCTTCACCCGCTTGTGTGACTGACTGGTAAGTGGATAGATAGTGCGAACGTCCCATGATCCCGTCCGTATCACCATGCACATATCAAATGCATAAATTAAGGTGCGCCGCGTAGGACGCCGAGCGTGTTGCATTGTTCGAGACAGTTTTCACTGCGCCATGTGTGTACACAACCAACATGGATGAAGTCTTCCTCTAATATGTTCCTTGGTATGTCACACAAGCGCACGTAATGAAGCCCATTTGCCGTCATGTTAGGAGAGAATGATGCTTAAATGGGACGTATGAATTTCCCAAATAGTGAGAGGGCCAGGCTACTTCTTGAAGTTGACTGAGTTTTCGAAAAGCTGAGGGGCTCACCAGCATTCGTTTGCAACATGCTTAACCAACAACTACATCCTGCCACCAACTCTTGTGACACTCTTGTCCCGCTGGACCACATTCAACTGCCACTGGCCACCACGCCTGCATATGTGCAAGTTGCATGGTCCTTGGCTTTGTTTACCAGATCCAAATGACGTCTACCCATGCATTTCAGGAAGCCATGGAAGCACACACACGCCCTTCTCTTGCACGAAGATCGAGACTCCGGGGCAAAATGTGCAGCAACCCCCGAACCCGTATTCGTAGTCCCTGACTGATATTGACGGAATCTAGAAATCCTTGACCGTCCCACCGAGAGCCTTAACCATACCAGAGCTTCCTGAAAACCTGGAGACTATATGGCCATTTTAATCAGAGTTATCTGGCGAACATTTCTGTCAAGCACGGGTCCCCGGACCTCCCCGTCTTTTTGGATCGTCTGGACGTCTCGGGCCTCCATATCCTTAAGCGCGCACGACTCATTTTCAAAGATCGCTGGGATCTTTGCGTCCTCTGGCATTCAACCTCTTGAATTTTTGCACGAAAACGATCCCTTCCCAATCTCGTGTTTTCAGAAAGCAGCGACAACCACTGGAGGCGCAAGTAAGGGGAAATGATGCACATGTAAGTTCTGCTGTTCTGGCGTCTCGCTTCCGGCTCACTGGTACACTCAGCACACCCAAAGTCACTTCTGTATTTGACACGCGTCACAGGCACTCCACACAGTCCGTCCCGCCGGCGCGTCCGTCCTTGCGCCGGCGGTTATCCGAGTCTTCTCGTTACTCGCCCTCTCCTGGCCCCCGCGGCCGCGTCCCTCACACTCCACACAGGGGCAGGAGGAGGGGAACGCGAGCACCTCGAAGCGGCGCTCGCCAAACTAAGCGAACATTCACTGGCCTCACATAGGTGTTCTCTGACACCTTACACACACATGCTCATCCACGTAGCCCCCCGCGGCAAGCGATTGGCCTGTAACACTGTAAAAACTATCAGAACTATACGACTCCGCTGCCAAAACCTGAGTATTACACCGAACTGTAAGTCATCCCTGGACGAGGACAACTGTTATCACTCTGAACCCCTCCCTCAAATGACATAATGTCCTCAAGATGGTCAACAATGGACCCAATGATATTTATGCCAAATGTCAACTGATTAAAACATCTAGTCCTGAATGGCACAGGTGAGAGACCAATGAACTGAACTACTCAGACCTTGCAGGTAAAGTGGTTCCTTCCGCGCACTTCTGAAACAGTATGATGTGAGCGCAGTAGAACAATCAAGGAAGATATGGAATAAAAATAAATGCAAAATATGTAGCAACAGATATGTGTGAACTGCATGGACTTGTTCATTGACATAGAAAACGTAGAATTTGATACTTATAGAAGCCATGCATATTGCTCTTCGAAACCGGCCCGGCTCCAGATCTCGATGGCGCGGCGTCGCAGTGGCGCGGTGTTCAGAACCAATCTAATTAGCTTGGACTTTATCTGGGACCGAATGGGTCCAAAGCAGGCTATCAGATGAGGCCCCCGACAAAAAGCGTAGGGCCCTAAGCAAGTGCCAGATAATTGGAAGCGCCCTAGACCAATATAGAGGGTCTAGGAGAACATCGCAAGCGCGTCGGTAAGTTGATCGAGACGCATGTAAGGGACCCCTGAGCAGCCGGGAATACCCCTGCGGATTAAAATATCCTGAGGCCCCGGCTATAGCCCACAGAGCCCTTCTGGCGAGTAGGAAGAATCCGTGGAACGGTCTGTGGTTGACAAGGAAGCCCCGGTACGCTAGCAGGAAGGGTCCAGCAGCAACCCAAGGCCCTCCGAGCAAATGCAAAGAAATCAAGGGCAACGTGGAAGGCCCCTTAACGACCGGAATTACCCTGCAAGTGGGCATATAGGTCCCCCGGAAGCAGCATAGGGCCCTAGACAGTGAAAAGAAAGCTTAAGATCTTCAATCCACAACTTTTCAAACATTGAATAATTTTCTTTTCACTTCTCGTGGGCCCAATTCACTTTCTCATGCAACTGTTCATGGTCGCCTGGAAATCCTGAGGTATGCAATTTTTTGCACTTCGTGCGAACAATTGCACCTGTTCGGCCGGCCATAGGGCCGGCTCGGAACCAATGGGCTCCTTAGAAACCGAGGGAGGTCTGGGCCCCGTGGCCCCCTCTGGATCCTCCCCTGGCCATAATCATGCTAAAACTTCTTCCCAGAAGCCTCGCGCCTTCGTATCTTGAGATATCTGGTTTTAAATTATCAAATGTTATGACGTTCCAATAATGCGCAAGCAACAAACCCTTCTTCAAATCCTACTCTTAACCGCGATACCACTCGGTCTGCCTTCCCGGCAATCCAAAATAATCGCGTTCTTCGTAAACAAAGACTTCGTGACGTCATCAACAGCGGACACTTGGAGTTTCGCCCAAGGCCGGTTTCGCCTCGTGGAAGCCCCGATAGGGGTGTGGGCGGTGTTGGGGTGTTGGATATTTCACTTATATAGGTATGAGAGTGCATTGTTGTTATTTTTTAATGCAGAGGGTAGCTTGTGGCACCCGTGCAGGTTTTGCTTGCTGTTGGTTCTGTCCAAAACAGTTCGAGTAAAGCCGTGTTTCTAGTATTGGTCAGGATCCTGATCCTGCCTTACCTGGTTTTAGGACTTGTTATGAGGTTCAGGTTTGTTTAACAGGATGAACTCTGCAACATTCAGAAACAGTGCAGCACATTTTCTTATATTGTGGGTTTTAAAAACCAACACATTAATGCTGTAAGCTGGTAGAATGTGTCTCTGGGACCCCAGTGTTGTCAAGCCTTCAACACCTACTCCTGCATTGCATTTTGGGCCATTGTGCAGGTGTACCCAGTACTACTGAACGTCATTTCTGGTCATGCATCCAAGTTTGTCTTGGTTTGATGGTTCTTTGAATCAGTCTTGCTTTTACATTTCTACTAGAAAACATGAGTGATATGCAGACCAAAGTGAAACTGAGCTTTTCAACTGACTAGTTAAATGAGGTAGGTTACACAGTATGTGGTAGGAAACATAATGAATTGATCTTTGTAGTGAGCTAAGCAGTTTATTCTATTCAGCAATGGACTGAAATTATGAGGTGAAGAAAGGTGTGGTCTAAAATTGGCATAATACTTGTGATGGGAATATCTTGGTACTAGTCATTGTTCTAGAGCTAAGTCATGGTTCAGTAGAGCCTATTAGCAATATGAATATCTCACAATCATATTGTGGTGTTGACTGTCATATCACTGACACTTTGATTCCACTGTGCCTGCTTTAAACTCCCCAATGGTGTTAATTGCAAATCACTTCTGGGGGTGTAGAAATCCCCTAAATAGCTGACAAGATGGGCACACTTCAGTATGACTCAAAGATCCATGGTTAGTACACCTAGGCATGACAAAGTGATTTCAAATGCAGAATTAAGGGTTAGAAGAGCGGTGACAGCTTTTCTGCTGTAATGCTATGATGTGGCACAGAAGGAAGTGGTAGAAATCAAAATGTCCAACCCAGTCTATTCAGATGACTGGCCTTTACAGCCCTTCTTTACCAATGCTGTTTTCTTATGTTCTGCATTATTTTGAGGATTAGTAATATGCATAACTGCCACAACTGACAAGGCCCAGCAGTCTGACCGGATGTCTATTTTTCAGGATTGACAAACAATAACAACTGCAGCCATGTCAACCTGTCTATGTCTTTTAACAGCTGTTGTCAATATTCTAGTGATCATCCCAGTGGTAAGAATTCCCTATTTGAATACTCATATATAGAATTATGTAGTTTCTGCAGTCAGTTAGAGAGCAGAGCAGGTGCTATATGGATTGCACTTACATCATTATACTCAAAATGGAAAGAGATTGAAAGCAGGATTGAGAAAAACAGCCTAACTGCTTAATAATGATATGTGTTTTGTAGTAATTGGCATTGTCTGTGCACATGCATATACTTTCTGATTGATGGTGTAGGCCGTTATGTTTTTTTTTGTCATAACCTTATGGCAATGCAGGTATATTTTTCCCACTGAGTTGAGTTTTTGTAAATAATTTTGATTGCATTATGTGGTACTGGTATGCTTGATATCAATTTTACCAACATGCATTTGCCAAAAGGTAATGCCCATCAATTTGTGTATCAGGTCACCCAAGCCAAGGAGATGTTGAGCCTGGGTCTCATCGAGACAAGACCAACCGGAGGAGCACAGGTGCAGCGCTTCTGTGTGACATACTTTCCAAAGGTGTACAACCTCACACAAGATAAAAGCAAGGTGGTAAGTATTTCATAATTGATCAAACAAGATAGTTATGAGGTGTCATCAGAACAAAAAAGTTGCATGTCCCATTGGTGAAAACTTTGGCAGGCATCTTCTGGCAATGACAAGAGGTGATACAGTATTTGTAACTTGGTCTGTTCTGACAAAGATAACTCTTGTTGGATGAAAATGCTCTGCACCTACAAAATACCCTCATACATGTAGATATGATACACCAATTCTGTACACACCAGGGGGAACTGTTGCACTGTTTTGATTTTGTCTCTGTATAGAACAGCTATTTTCTCTGTTAGCATCCATAAGGACCCTACAGTAGTCCATCTGGCCACTGGATGCTGACAGTATGTGGTTGCAGCTTTATAGGAGCATGATGGCTGCACAGTGTGTACCCCAGATGGGTGGTGGTCACTGATTGGGGCTGTGTCTGTCTGTCTGCCAGTCAAGTCACCCAGTGGCTGATCTGACCAGTTGGGATGGCTGCGCCGAGCCGCCGCCAGCGCCGCTGCCGCCCATGGACCAGCGCTGGGTCTTCCTCAACCAGTCGACGGCCGCCAACTGCTCGCTGGACAGCCGAGTCTCCCGGCTCCAGGTCAGTTTGGGCCGGAGGGTCGCCCGTCGCCGGGTCAGTGTGTGCCTTGTAGTCGTGCAAAGACCCTTTCGTCAGCTGGCCGATTCCGACCGTGGGCTCGTGTCAGATGGTTTGGAGCCTAGTCGGAGCCACTTGCAGATGTGCAGACGCTGGGACGAATTGGAATGGAGCGCTTGGGGCGGGCTGTGGGGTGTCCACGTCGCGTGTGTTGCTGTTCTTGAGCAAGGGCCTGTTGACAGGATGCGGTCGTGCTGTGCGTCAGAAATTCCACCCTCTGGATTTTGACGAGCCGGTGACATCCCACCTTCTGATGCTGTTTGGCCGTGCGGGCTCTCCTCCCACCCCCGGAAGCCGGTCCCAGCTCGTGAACGCTGACGCTGTGCGTGGTTGTCTTTCAGGGTCTGAACGCGGCTGGTATCGTGATCCAAGTGAACGAGTCTTACGGTTCGATGGCGAAGAATGCCAGCCCGTCGCCCATGCCGGTCACGTTCATCTCGTGGCGTCATGTTGCCGCCATCATGGTTAGGCCCGTCCCCCTTCTCTTGCTCCACTCCCTCCTGATCATGATTAGGCCCATCCCTCCTCTCCTGCTCCACTCCCTCCTGATCATGGTTAGGCCCATCCCCCATCTCTTGCTCCACTCCCTCCTGATCATGGTTAGGCCCGTCCCCCCTCTCTTGCTCCACTCCCTCCTGATCATGGTTGGGCCCGTCCCTCCTCTCTTGCTCCACTCCCTCCTGATCATGATTAGGTCCATCCCTCCTGTCCTGCTCCACTCCCTCCTGCGGTCGGGGGGGGGGGGGGGGTTGCGGTTGACGCTGGTTGTACGGGTCGTGTTCAGTGTTACAGTTTGCTGATGACTGTTGGTTGAAGTCTTCCTGCTTTTTGTCATGGTCGGCGCGCAGTCGCGGCCTGCGCTCGCTTGGCTGCGAATGTGACAGAGCAGAGCGGCGCATGAGAGGTCGCTGGCCCTGTCGGATGTAGTCACCCCGCCCCGGTACGTGCCCTGACCTGCTGCGGACGGCCAGGCCGCAACGCCGCCGACCGAGGCTATCCAGTACGCCATCCCCGAGGAGACGCTCTTCAACTACGGTCTCGTCATCATCTGGTTCATCGCCAACCTGACCATCACGCTGGGGGCGCTGTGGAGCGCCACTGTCAAATACGAGCTGTGAGTGTCGCCGGGCAGCGGCAGGGACTGGATTCGCAGCTCCCAGTGCGCCCCGGCCTGCACAGGCGGCGCTGTTGTGGCTGTATGACCAGGACAGCATACTGCGGGTCAACCCAGCATTATGTCGTGCTGCTATATGACCGGGGAAAGTGGGGCTCCTCCAAGCCAGTGTTTGATGTTCCACACGGTCCATCGCAACCGGCGACAACGCAGCCGTATTGCATGAGGCGATGGCGCGGACGGCGGTGACGCCAGAGCCGGTCGCCGTCAGCCGTGCGGGGGACCTCCCTCCTTGGTCACCCGGTCACGCTGGGCGGCAGGCACACGCAGGAGGAACAGGCGCGCCGCTCTGGCGCCGCCGCCGAGGTGGTGGCCGTGCGCTCCAGCGACGGCGAGAGCTCCTCCACGCCCGTCACCGTCGTCTCAGCCGTCTGCGCCATCGCGCTGATCGTCACCTTCCTGCTACTCTCCTACTTCTTCCCGCAGGTCATGTGTAAGTGGCTGGAGTGTGTGCCAGCTGGTGCGATCGACAGCTGTGTTCGTGTTATGGTTCTCTCGCTATCTCGTTACGGCGGGATGTGAATGAAGTCGTCCGTAGCTTGTACGCCATGTCCCTGCGAGCCTCGTGCGGCGATTGCGGTTTCAGATACTTCAAAAACAGCAGTTTAAGCGAACATGCGATGACATTTACGGGTCATATTTTGGTTGTTTTTCAAGCGAAGCTCCCCTGCACAATATAACCCCCCCCCCCCCCCCCTGTCTGCTGTCGCTGGTCACCTAATCGGTCAACTGAGCGCCAGCGCGGCCGCGACCTGACGTCGTGTGGATTGAGGGTGTGAGTGGCAGTCCCAGTGCGTGTGTGGCACTCCGTTAGTGTTGACATGCACTGATGGATATAATATGTATCATCCTTTTCGAGCTGTGGTCAGTGACTGCAACTTGATCTCGCGGATCGCCGCCCGTGTCCTCCTACCCCGACATGGGGCTTCTGACCTGACCCGACCTTCGCTTCAGACTACGTGGTGCTGGTGCTATTCTTCATCGGTTCCGTGTCCGGCCTGTACACCTGCCTGAACGCCATCAACGCCCGGCTGCCCTGTAGCTGCGACCTCGGCCTGTGAGTGAGCCGGTCTGGCGCACGGCTTGGCTGTCTGGCAGTGTGATGGGGGCCTCCGGCGGTGCCTGTGAGCGCTAGCTTTTCAAGGTCCCAGGCGTCCGACCTGCCATCTAGCCTACCACAGAACGATGTGCTCAGCGGTGTATGTGCGCCACTGGCGTTGATACCGCGATGTGTGTGGGTGCGTGCGTGCGTGTGTGAGTGAGTGCGTGTGTGTGCGTGTATGCGTGCGCGTACGTGTACGCGTGCGCGCGTGCGCGTGCGTGCGTGCGTGCGTGCGTGCGTGTGTACAGCGCGTGCAGAGCACCTGCTGCTGTTGTGGCAATGTGTATGACGGCCCCTGACAAAGCAGCATGTATGTCCGCAGCACGCCGGCCGTTTCGACCCGCTGCTGCTCGTGCCGGGTGCGGGTCTCCCAGGTGCTGCTGCTGGTCATCTCGCTGACGGCCGGCATCGTCTGGATCGTCTTCAGAAATAACGACGTCTGGGGCTGGGTGCTGCAGGACCTGCTGGGCGTGGCCTTCTCGTGAGTGTGTGAGAGACAGGGGTGGTCGGTTCATGCTGTCGTAGATGAGATCCAGCACAGTCACTGTGCCAGTGTGGTCCATCTGTGCATTGCTGTTCTGTTCTGTGTGATGTCATTTTGCTGTGTTTCCACATGTATTCAGTACACTGTTCATATTCAACATGCTTTGCTCACACAGGGTTGTGAAATGGCCTTGCTTTGTCAAGTGTCTGGCATCAAGGGCGTCTGGCATCAAATTTGTGAAATCATGAAAAGTATGTATTCTTTGGTCCTAATATGTATTGTCTGAATGTGTATTGTCTTAATGTTTTATTAACCATTTGTTAATCTGAATTTTCGTTAATATCCGGCCTTATTTGTATCGTTCGTTGTCATCATGACAAGGGTCGGTTGTTTGGCTGTGTTGTGCGTATACGTGGCCGTGTGCGGCTCTGTTTTGTTGACGTCGGTCCGTGAGTTGACCCGTGATCCTGTGTGCCAGGCTGTCGTTGATCCGGTCCTGCCGCCTGCCCAACCTGAGGATCATGACGTTCTTTGCCGTCGGCCTGCTCATCTACGACATCTTCTTCGTCTTCGTTACGCCGCTCTTTACCTCTGTGAGTACCACTGGAAACGGCATTTAGTGCAAGGCACCAGAACTCTGGACGCCCGTGTTCTTCGACGTCACATTCCCGCACTTCACGCCGCGATGAGCTACGACGTGGCCGCCGACCGTGCGGCGTCGCTTCGGAGTGAGGACTGGCGTGTGGACCGAGCCGAGACCGTGAGGACGGGTGCGGCCCCGTCGGCGAGCCTCAGCAGTGTGGTGATGTGCGGCCACTGGAGTGGCAGTGATGTCGATGTTTGTCCGTGCTGTGGTGTCCGGTTCGAGTTTGCTGCCTGTTGCTCCCGCCCTCGCTCAAGATTGACCAATCAGCATCAAGCCGGACGGCGCTCAACCCAGCGTCTAAACGCCCTGGGCTTAGCCAAGCGGCCGGGATGGTCAGGTATCGGGGTTCTGGGTCAAAGGGCCACGGACCAGCAACCGCCGAAAGGCGCATGCCGAGGCCGTAGAGAAGCGCCATGTCTGGCGGCCTACATCTATAGCTACATCCTGCACACCCAACTGGATATATTTTGGAGCGCTGACCTCCAGCTGGCGAGGTGTCGGCCCGGCCTAAGGGTGCGAGTTCCCGCAGTGCCGCCGTCCGGCCTCCTGGGCCTCGCGTGCGGCCTGACTCGCCGCCGGCGTCAGCGGCGCACGCCGTCCGTGTTTCATGCGCACCGTACTCCCGCGGGCAGGACGGCAAAAGCATCATGGTGGAGGTGGCCACCGGCGGCGGAGAGTACGTCCTGCCCATGGTGCTCAAGGTGCCGTACATCGTGCGCTCCGCCTACCCAGAGTGCCACCCGAGCCACTCGTTCTCGCTTCTGGGTGAGTCGGCCGCCCGCCAGCGTAGTGCCGCGCCTGGGGCGCCGCCGCAGCGGCACCCACCTGCGGCGTTCAGTGCCTTCCTAACTGTGGGGACGAGGGACTGGGCACGGTCACAAACATAGCGAACTGGTGCTGTGTTTCACTGGCTCCCGCGGCTGCGCGCGCGGTTTTTGTTTGGGTGCGTGCGCGCAGTTGCCTGTCGTGTGGGGGCTGTCACGCGCCGTCGCTGGCAGGGCCTGCGTCGCCGTGTCTCCAGCGGCGGCAGTGTGTGGGCGCCGGTGATCGAGCTGCACGCTGCCCGCAGGCTACGGCGACATCATTGTACCCGGCTTCATCGTGGCGTACTGCGCCGCCATCGACAAGATCTACGGCATGCGGCGGCACGTGTACTTCGTAACGGCGGCCGCCGGTATGCCCAGACACGCCGGCCGACCGCTGGTGGCACGCGCCGTCCGCTGCCGAGGCGGTGGCGGGGGAGAGGGGGGGGGGGGGGGGGCGCATCTTCAGCTGGGTCTGGTGAAGGCATCTACTGCCCTCCTCACCAGGGTACGGTCTGGATTTGTCACTGACTCCCTCACCAGCATACGGTCCGAGTCTGTGGTTGGTGCCCGCACTGTGCTCTCCAGGCTACGATCTGGATCTGCCGTTAATGCCCTGACTGTGCTCCCCAGGGTACGGCCTGGGTCTGGTGGTGACGTTCGGCGCTCTGTACGCCATGGAGCGGGCGCAGCCGGCGCTGCTGTACCTGGTGCCGCTGACACTGCTGCCGGTCATGGTGGTGGCCCTGGTGCGCCGACAGTTCCTGCTGCTCTGGCACGGCGTCAAAAAGGTGGGCGGACGCAGCCGTGATCAGCCGTGCTCACACGGATTGGGGGGGGGAGGAGGGGGGGGGGGGGGGGGCACCAGCAGCCTGTCCAAGAGACTCGTGTAGCCAAGCCATCACTGTGGTGTCGGAAGGTGAAGACATCGACGCTCTCCCGGCGGAGTTGGATAAGGGGCTGGTGGAGGTCGAGATGCCGCGAGCGTTGGGGGAGGGAAAGCGGGGTGGCGGAGCGTGGAGAGACGTCCGGGTGACTTCCTGACCCATGTCTCACTTCTTCAGTCCAGGATGGGGCGTTCACGCAATCACAAGTGCTCTGGTAGTGCGTGCCGTCGTCGTTTCTGTTGGCCGGAGAGCGAAGCCGTCCTGCGTGTGGTGTATGTCGATGCTGTATACGTAGAAATGCTCCTAATCCTCTCGTCCTATCTGCTGGTTGCCCCGATGCAGGAAGGTCGGCCGTGAATGAGTGGTCGAGCTCATCCTGTCAAATGCTTTTCGCAGTCAAGCAACGCTGAAACAGGCAGGCATGATAGATGGCCTACTGACTAGAGGATAGTCGCATCCTCTAAAATGTATGTTATCAGAGTTACATTGTCTCAATTCATTTCATCATGCGCGGAAACCTTTTTTCTTGCGACATAACGCAACACAGACTGCCTGTGGCCTTTTTTAATTGACCAGCCCGCGAAAAATGAAGGTCAGTTCGGCAACAACTGATGCCATGCCAATTTAATCTCGGGCATCTCGCTAAGGTCATAGCTCAATCACGTCAAAGCAAGCTCCCATGCAATGGCGTGACATTGCTATTTCCCCATTAAGTATTATTAATGGACAGTATTATTTCTGTAATGTCCGATGGCACCCTGTGATGAAATGATAAACCAAATAATAACCAGTGACCATAACCATGATCCTTTAATTTCTCACAACTGAGTGACATTTTACACGTTCTTTACGCCACTCGAAGGTCCTACGTGACATCGGTCTCGCTCGCCGGTGATAACCGCTAGATAAAGTCCTGTGGGCCGAGTTTTGTGTTCAGGCGACCAAACGCATCCACTGCAGAGCGTATGATCCAAACCAACGTCCTGTTTAAAGATATAATCCGTACATTTTTAATGAATGGATTTCTGAGCCTAGAGCCCACGCTAAGCAGTGCTCGTTGTGTAAGTCGTGACCCCTACCATCCGATCGTGGAGTGCCAGGTCAGCGGCAGAATTCGGTGGCGAAAGTTTGACGTGCCGCAACGCTCGACACGGTCCGCCATGCCCCCTGACGCCACCTGACCTTACGTGCGGCCGCTGCCACCGGCCGCAGACCACACCTATCGAGGGCGGCAGCGAGCGCTTAGGGCAACTCGAACCCACCCCCGCCCTGGGTGAGTGGATCGGGAAGCAGGCGCTTTAATCAATTGAGCCACCCACACGCCTTGGATGGACGCACCTTTTTATTATTTTGCTGCATGATGCTACTGCTGTATTCAGCATATTTATGAAGGCACCCATCTTGGTTTCAACGAGTTCAAGCGAGTCAAGTGGAGAATTCTTATGGAGTATGTTTGGCGCTTGTGACATGGCTTGGCATGCCGTAAGTCACGTGATGCGTTGTTGATGGAGTTCTCAAGCGCCATCCAGAAACATTTGTTTCATAAAACTATAGTTCTTGAGGTAACTGGGAGGGGGAGATTCGATGACCCTTTTGACCTGTTTTGACATGTCGCGGGTGGCGTTCGGATCACTGTGATAATATTGCGGTGTGCTGCTCGCGAGGCAGTTTGGTGAGGCCCTGTGATACAGCTTTTTGCCCGTCCGAACACGGGTAGCTTTGCTATAAGACAGGGGCTCAAGCTCCCGTCTTGAACCCAATTGACCTGGTTTGACCCTTAAAAGACCGTATGCCCTGCCGCCCAGTGACGCTGCTCCGATGTTTTTCGCGAGTCATGCACCTCCGCAGGGGCACCGGCCTCGGTCGGTGTAGGGGACTAGCGCCGTCTCGAGTCCCAGCTCCGGTAACGGGTGGACAGCCCGGTCGGTGTAGGGGACTAGCGCCGTCTCGGGTCCCAGCTCCGGTAACGGGTGGACAGCGCAAGCTGTTCCTCTCAGGGCGTAGCGACCCTGCCGGTGCGCGAGCTCCTGCTCCTTGTCCGCCCGCTTCTTTCCCATTACCCGCTTTCCCGCATCCGGCCCTATCATCACTCCTAATCCTCGTTTTATCGGGGTCACCGTGTCCCCTCGCCCGCGTCCCCGAATTGATCGGATTCTGGTGGCTGAGGGGCGCGTCGTGCGGGTCAGTCGCGGCGCGTCCCAATACTCTACTACAACACTCCACTTCGGCCAGGATATCCGGGGGCGCCGGGGGACCGTGGAACCCCACACGGGTCTAGCGACTTGTCGCTCGCGTTGCGGTTGGGTGCTCCTTGCGGGTCTCCGCTTGAGGCTCCCGGCCGCGCAGCGGCTTAGGGGTCAAGGGGCGGCGGCACTGAACCACGTTCAGGACGGGGAGGGGTCTCTCCGGTTACACCTGACCGTGTGGGAGGCGTTGTTCGCCCCGTATTACCGCCACCGGGATAGCCCTGGCGGTGACCACCTCCCGTGGGAGTGTTGGGCGGTCACCCAGTTGGGCTCCGCGGTGGGTGGGGAGCCCAGGTGCCGGAATGAAATCCACCCATTATGGCTTCTTCTCACCTTAAAACACCCGTCCTCCGAACGGGGGACGGACCTCGATAACCCCAGCGTGCAGAGAAGAATCTGCGCCTCCCGCTGCCCGGATCCCGATCTCCGGTAGTGAAGAGATTAGGCTGGCTTCCCTCTCACCGTTTCAGAGACGGAACGGCTGCGACTGGTTTGGGAACATCATCAGATGCGACAAGCCTAGGGATGGAAAAATAGAAGTAGAGTTCGCTAGTGGTGTGGAGGCGAGTAGGGCCATGCCAGCTAAGAAATTTACATATAATGTCCGGGATGAGACTGGTAGGCACGAAAAGACTGTGTCAATATCAGCAATACCACATAAGACCAAAAATTCGTCCAGGGGCGTGGTCAATGGTTTTGATCTTCGTGACGTCGCCGAGGGCGAGATAGTCGAAGAACTCTGGGTTTGGCGTGACGAGCGCTCGCAGGATTCTCGTCAGACGGGGAGAGCTGTTGCCCACCAACAACCTCATTCTGACGTTTAGTTCTACTGATTTGCCGGCCGCGATACGTGTGGGGTACGCTCGAGTGAAGGTTCGCCCCTATGTGCCTAACCCCATGCGGTGCTACCAATGCCAGCGATTCGGCCACACCAAGCTCCACTGTCGTAACCACCCAGCATGTAGTAAATGTGCGTCATTCGAGCACACGAGCGAAGTTTGCACCTCTGCTGAACCCCACTGCGTGAACTGCGGTAAGGACCAAGTCCCACACACGACGTATGACCGTACATGTCCGGCCTACGCGAAAGAAAAGGAGATTATATCGATAAAACCTCTAAAAACGTCTCTTCGTGAAGCTCGTGAACTTTACAACGACAGCCACCCAAAAACATCGTATGCGTCCAAAGTGAAAACTTCGTTGCCACAAAGTAATGCCATCCAGCACATGACGGCAGTTCAGTTCGTGAGACTTCTGAGGTCGTTTGGCCTGTCGGTTGTTCCATCGGTCCGAACGCCCGACTCCCAGCCGGCACTTCAAGCTCCCAGTCCGTCGATCGAGCAGTCGGTAGACGCCGCTCTGCTGGCCTCCTCGGTGCGCGCTGGATCACCAACGGGCGACGGTTGGACGACGGCTCGGCGTGGTCGGAATCCCCGCGCGCCGACGGCCGTGCCTTCGCCTGCTACTCATTCGGCCCCTTCGCTACAGACACCTCTTGCGACTGCCTGTGAACGTGTGGCAGAGACGCTGGAGCACCAGAAAGCTGACAGGCGCGCCCGCGAGGCCACGCGAGCACGCTTGGCCGAGCTGGAGCGTCCTAAGGCGGCAGGCCGTCTGTCCGAGACAGACAAAGAACCCGTCCCCCGAAACAGCACCCGCCGGAGACCGGTGGAGGCTCCCACTGGTCTCTCGAACCCCGGTAGAGGCCCACCGATGGGCCCTCCCCGCCTCTACCCCTAACTGGATACGCTGGAGTAAAGCGTGCCCTAGGCGGCCCCCTTCTCCATCTGACGGAGAGAGCCCAAGGACCCGTCCTGGGGTGGGACACGGCCCCCGGAGTTAAGCCGTAGCTCTCGGTCCGAGGTGTCTGGGCATACAACTGGCGCAGCCTAGTTCTTGAAGCCGGGACTTGTTTTAGCTTTTCACGTCTGACCGCCTCCTAAATGCGTCCTTTTACAGGCGTTTCTACAGTGGAACTGTAGAGGGATAAGGGCGAATGCCCTCGATCTCGAGGCTGTCGTCACCAGGGTCTCTCCTGCAGCCGTAGCGCTGCAAGAGACCAAGAACATTTTGAACGTCTGAACATTTCTGCTCTTTGAAAGGATATGCGATGTTTCGCAACGACGTGTTGACGGAGAGCATTTTTTTGTATAAAGATGATCCGAACCTTTGAATAGATGGATTTCTGGGATCAGCGCTCACGCTAAGCAGTGCTTGTTGCGTGAGCCCCGACCCCCACCATCCGATCGCGGAATTCCAGGCAACGGCAGAATTTAGTGGCGAAAGCTTTACGTGCCGCAATGCTCGGCACGGTCCTTCCTACCCTCTGACGTCAACTGACCTTTAGCGCTACCGCTGCCACCGGCCGCAGGCCATACCTGCCAAGGGCAAATAGCGAGCGTCCTAAAGCGACTCGTACCCAACCCCCCACGGGTGGGTGGATCGGAATGCAGGCGCTCGAACCAACTGGGCCACCGGGACGGACTTGCTCGCGGTGGCGTCCTGGCAGTTCATCATAGCGTGCCAGCGAGAAGGCTAAGCTTGCGGTCCACACTTCAGGCTGTGGATGTGCGGCTTTATTTCAACCATCGTCACATCACTGTTTGTTCACGTTACCTTCCACCAGGCATCGCTTTTCCGTTGTTGCACCTTAGATGT